AAAACATATAATGTTTAAAACCAGTGACAAAAAACACAATAGTTTTAAGGACAAACAAAGTTTTATGATACAATGGTTATGGAATATTTAAGAAACAATACAACTAAATTCGTTGTTGAACAGGTTTATAAAACAATACAACTAAATTCATTGTTGAACAGGTTTATAAAACAATACAACTAAATTCATTGTTGAACAGGTTTATAAAACAATACAACTAAATTCATTGTTGAACAGGTTTATGAAACAACACAACTAAATTCATTGTTGAACAGGTTTATAAAACAATACAACTAAATTCATTGGTGAACAGGTTTATAAAACAATATATTTGTTGAACATATTAATTTAAATATCTGACAATTGTTTTTAGGAACTGATATTATTATAAAACTACCTATTCACACACTTATTTAGATTCCAGAAGTAACCATCCTAGACACGTCAAAATATATATCCTGCATATGTTAGCAAACGGAATTGTGCTGATTGTAAGAAAAGAATAAAGTATTATGCTAAATATATCAATAATGTTTCATCAAATCGAAACTATAACAGTTAAAACTGTACATTTCGCGTCAAATTAACGAGTTAACAATCAGTTAGAAGTTATCAACCATTACTGGTTCACTTGACGTCACGTGAATAGGAAGAAAACCACGTCAGCAAACCAAAGAGCTACGATTTGGTCAAATATAATGTTGAAGTGTTTATAGTTGAGTTGGATTGCAGGCGGGTTTGAACGAGATTTGTCATTGTTAATTGTATTGTAATTCCCTGTTTCTATTCTTTCCCAAGTCTTATTTTGTTGCAGGTTGCGAATATTTTGTAATTCTCATCTGAGATAAAAGTTTATGGTTCATATTTTTGGTTTATACTTAATTCTTCTTTAACACTAACTTACTACCAGTGCTTCTAGAAATTACAGTCTTCTTTATCCTGACTCTGAGCCACCCCAGTTAATCCCTCTCGTTGATGCTTTTAACCAATGTTTTGTCCTTTACCAAAGTGTAATTATACGTTAAACAAAAATATTATTTTTCATTCTTCAGAAGATGATTGTGTTATGGTGTCTGACAATAACTTTGGTGCGAAAACCTTCAGAGACTGCTTATCACCTGTTACTGTTGACCAGTGTTCAGAAAATTGCGAGTTCTTAGCAAATATAACCTGTTACTGTTGGCCAGTGTTCAGCAAATTGCGAGTCTTAGCAAATGTAACCTGCTACTGTTGGCCAGTGTTCAGCAAATTGCGAGTCTTAGCAAATATAACCCGTTACTGTTGGCCAGTGTTCTGCAAATTGCGAGTCTTAGCAAATATAACCTGTTACTGTTGGCCAGTGTTTAGCAAATTGCGAGTCTTAGCAAATGCAACCTGTTACTGTTGGCCAGTGTTCAGCAAATTGCGAGTTTTAGCAAATATAACCTGTTACTGTTGGCCAGTGTTCAACAAATTGCGAGTCTTAGCAAATATAACCTGTTACTGTTGGCCAGTGTTCTGCAAATTGCGAGTATTAGCAAATATAACCGGTTACTGTTGGCCAGTGTTCTGCAAACTGTGATTTCGATTGAAGGTATTCGGAAAGTTAGCTGACAATTGGGTAGTTGTAGAAGTCTACACTGATTCTACTTCCCAGACTTTAAACTGACAATACACTGAAACCCCGATTTTACGCGCCCCGATTTAACGCGATTGAGGATTGGTTTCATAAAACTTTTGTCCCTGCCGTCAACGCTTATTTGGTCTTCTTAGACATCCAATCTGGTTTTGATTGTGTTAAAACTGATGTAAATCTTCGAAAATTGTACAGTTTTAGATACAGGGGTATGTCCTAAAATAGTTGTAAATATCTGTATGGCCGTACGTTCACAATGAAAACTGAAAAATGTTGGTTAAATGATACTGGTCATCAGTTGTTGGTTACCTCAGAGATCAAACCTCAACTCTTCCTTTTTTTAACGTTATGCATAGTTATTTTGTAAAACATTTTACAGAGAGGCAAACATGGAACCATAATTGCTCATGATATTGCAATTTGGAAACTGGGTCGTAACTCGTCTTTCATTAACCCTTCTCTTCAGGAGACTATGGATAGCATACAATGTTGTGTGAATGCTTTGAAACTTGCATTGAAATCTAAATATGTGATGATTACTTATAGGAAACTGATAACTTCTTACAAAAGATATCAACATTTCTCTGGGTTCAGAAATTCAGTAGTTAGGAATATACTGAATAGATGTTGGACTTGAAAACCACATATATCCTGCTTAGTTTCTACATGTCAGAAGCGGATATATTTTCTAAGAGTGGTGTCTAGCACTTTATAGGGAGCTGAATGACGTATTTTGTTTTCACTTTACCGTTCATTAATATTTCAGGGCTAGATCATGGTTATTTGCTTTATAACACTGTCCCTTTCCTATGTCCTTCGTAAACTTGACATTTTTCAAAATTCTACATTACACATCTACGTCTTGCATGGTACTTTATTTATTAATTTATTTATTAGAATTTGCTAAAAGCTACTCGAGGGCTATTTACGTTAGCTCTTCATAATTGAGCAGTGTAAGACTAGAGTGAAGGCAGCTAGTCATCACTACTCACCGCCAACTCTTGGGCTACTCTTTTACCAACGAATAGTGGGATTGACCGTCACATTATAACGCCCCCCCACGGCTGAAAGGGGGAGTATGTTTGGTTGCTAGGGCGCTCGATTCGCAATTTGAGGGTCGAAGGTTCGAATCCCCGTTCTACCAAACATGCTCGCCCTTTCAGCCGTGGGGGCGTTATAATGTGACGGTCAATCCCTCTATTCGTTAGTAAAAGTGTAGCCCAAGAGTTGGTGGTGAGTAGTGATGACTAGCTGCCTTCCCTCGAATCTTATGCTGCTAAATTAGGGACGGCTAGCGCAGATAGCGAAATTCAGAAACAAACAAACAAAGCTTATTCCTGTAGCTTGATGTGTCGTAATGATATTATATTCCTATACCTTGTCAAATGTTACAGTTATATACAGACCGTATTGTTTTAATGCTCGATTTGTATACCACATATAGATCTTTAGTCACTTTGCACCAATTATTGTCAGTTTGTGACATAAACAAGATTTAGACTATTACAAGCTTTAAAGCTTTCAAGAGATGACAAAGTCTTTTTTATTTGTGTTACGACTATTTAGCAAACTACTACGTAAGAGGTTCCATTTTTTATTCTATTAAAACACTAAAACTATTTAATATCTAAATCAAAAGCAGTGCCATCAGGAAACACAACTACACTATAAATCATCCTGTGTCTCTGTTGCTGCCCTTAATATATTGTTTTCACGTTCCCTATCTCTGATCAACATGAATCCCCTTATGTTATTCTTAGTATTATAGTTCCTGCCATCGCCTTAACGTCAGCGAAACAAATATCGCACTTGGCGTGGGTACTTTTACTGTTCATCTATAAACCACGACCATTATCATTTCGTTAAAGAACAACGTAGTTGGTGCAAAGAGTTTGAATCTTCATGGGAATTTATATGAACAGTTGTTAAACTTATCTCTAGAATAGTAGGATAAGGTTATGGTGATTTCCTTTTCAGGGACGACTGAATAATGAAACAAGGAACAGAAAAAAAATGTTAAACACCATTGTACCTATTTCCATAACACATCCATGTGTTATTAAACACATTCATCTCTTCTCTTTCCACAACACAAACATGTATCAAACACATCTCACTCGAGCTCTAAAACGATATAAGGTTCCAATCCAACACGAAGATAAATTTGCTCCTGAAGGAAACAAATGTCGTCCATCCAGTGTTCAGATATCCATAGTGTACACTAACGTGTCTAACTAGGATCTTTGTTTTGCCAACATAATTTATCTTAAATTTATTTATAAACAATGATCTGGTAATAATTCTAAGAAATCAAGTAGAACATGTTATAATATGTCAATCAAGTAGAACATGTTATAATATGTCAATCAAGTAGAACATGTTATAACATATCAACCAAGTAGAACATGTTATAATATGTCAACCAAGTAGAACATGTTATAATATGTCAACAAAGTAGAATATGTTATAATATGTCAACCAAGTAGAACATGTTATAACATATCAACCAAGTAGAACATGTTATAATATGTCAACCAAGTAGAACACGTTATAACATGTCAACCAAGTAGAACATGTTATAATATGTCAACCAAGTAGAACATGTTATAATATGTCTACTAAGTAGAACATGTTATAATATGTCAACCAAGTAGAACATGTTATAGTATGTCAACCAAGTAGAACATGTTATAATATGTCAATCAAGTAGAACATGTTATAATATGTCAACCAAGTAGAACATGTTATAATATGTCAACCAAGTAGAACATATTATAATATGTCAACCATACTACACCTATCATATTCATTGCTGACGGATTCTTTCACCCAGTTCTAAGGCTGCTTGGTGTTTGTACTATTATTTGTGTATGTTAAACTAGACTGACCTATTAATTGTTAAAAGCGAAAAAGTGCTTTTTTGTCAATAAAATATATTTGAAAAGTCGACATTTATAATAATAAGAGAAAAAAATCTGTTTATCCGTCTGTCATCATTATATTTGAAACACAAATTTTGTCAAGTTTAAAATAATACATGCGTTACAATCAACCTATTTGACGCCATAATGTACTCATTATATATCTTGTGATAATTATTTCACAGACACAAAGGTGGGTAGTTGATTCAGTTAATATTTGGGTAACTATATATGTCATGCTGACCTTGTGGACGTTTGTCTACAAAGTTTAAGCTTGTTTGTATATGCTGTCGTTGCTGATATATATCACACTTTATATTTATTTAATCATGAAAGATTGTTGCCATGGAAACCACTCATCTAGAGATAAGATGTGAAGTTCTCTCTGAATGATCTCGACATTTACGAAAAAAACTAACGGTTAGCCTATTTTTCATTCAGTGTCCACAAAATAACACGAGGACCTGCGCAAAGGATAGCAGTAAGAGTTTAGCTGGCAGACTTGTTACAATTTTTCCTATTCACAGAACAATATGGCGTCTCTCATTGAGGATAGCAGTAAGAGTTTAGTTGGCAGACTTGCTACAGTTTTTCTTGTTCACAGAACAATACGGCGTCTCTCATTGAGGATAGCAGTAAGAGTTTAGTTGGCAGACTTGCTACAGTTTTTCTTGTTCACAGAACAATACGGCGCCTCTCATTGAGGATAGCAGTAAGAGTTTAATTGGCAGAATTGCTACAGTTTTTCCTGTTTACAGAAGAATATGGCACCTCTCACTGAGGATAGCAGAAAGGATTTAATTGGCAGACTTGCTACAGTTGTTCCTGTTCACAGAAGAATATGGCACCTCTCACTGAGGATAACAGTAAGGGTTTATTTGATAAACTTGCTACAGTCTTGCCTGTCTACATAACAACATGGAGCGCTGCACTACGGATAGCAGCAATAGTTTATATTATTATCTAAATCAAATGTTGATATTTTATCCAAATATTAAATTGTTTACACACTAAACAAACATAACTTACTTTATGTTGTGTTTACTTCGAATGACTTGTCTCCTTTGTTTATCTAAAACCTGCACTTTAAAAGATTAAACTTTCCAATAAAAAATAATAAATACTCGTGATTTTCAAATGTTAATTATTTTATTTCTTGGATTAATAAAATAATATGAGTAAATTTAGGTCAAAACTTCTTAAACATTTTATTGTTTTCTTTGTTTATCTAATGCCCGCCAAGGATATGGAAACTCAACTTATATTGTCATAAGCTGTCAGCCGTACTACTGAATCGCCCAGAGACCAAGATTAACCAATATTATTGGATATATTTCATGTTAAAATGCGTTCTGAAATTCACATTGAAAACGACAACTTCAACAAAAAGTACAATTTGTCAAGTGTTATTACAATTTTTTATGCTTAGTAAATGTTTTGGGTAATTGTTTTTATATAGTGTTATCTGTTCTCTTTTTAAATGTCTTGCCGTGAACTAGCAGTTTTTTTTGTCGGGTCTTTCATTAAAGAGTTCGGTGTTCGAGACATGCTGCCGCTGAACACGTTTCGCACTTAGAAAAACGACATTCAACCGAAAATTCTTGAAAACATAACAAATAGACTGATCACATATTTGTAATTGGATAATAAATTACCCAAAATTCAAAACGCATCTATGAAACTTAGATAAACTACTGATAATTGAATTAGGTTCACTGAAACAATTATAGAAATGTCATTAAAAGCCATTTCACAGTGCATGCTTTCTCAATGGAGGAAAATCCTTCGATAATGTATGACATAATAGTCCCCAAGTTTCAAATGTCATAAATGGAACTAAAGAGGGGTATTATTCGGACGACGGGAAAGTTAGAATTAATGTGGAAGATTACTTGGAGAATCTTACACCTGAGGCAAGTGTTCCAGAGGGAAGGGTGGTTAGCCCTATTTTATTTATTATGTATGTAAGTAGCATGTTACTTTCGGACAAATATTACTGTTTCTTTTCTCAATTCGCAGATGATGTGGCTACTAATCTTCATCATCTTTTGTCCCCCCCCCTTCATGGAGACAGCGGTAAATTCGCATATCATACGAGTCTTACCCGATTTAATCATATTAATAACATCAAAACAAAATTAGGAAAATATTAAAACTATATAAGATTGGTTTAGGTTTTGCAGTTTTGAAGCACAAAGCTACACAATGGCCTATTTCTGCTCTGCTCACTGTTGGTAGTGAAACCCAAATCTTAGCGTCGTAAGCCTGCAGATTTACCGCTGAGTCACTGAGAGGTAACAATGTAAAAAGTTTGTTTTCAATTGCTTAGGTACGTATCCTAAAAATATTTAAAAAAGTTAAAAATCATATATCAGACCTTTTCAGTTTTTACCTGGTAATGCTTGTTTGGTTTGTTTTTGAATTTCGCGCAAAGCTACACGAGGGCTATATACGCTAGCCGTCCCTAATTTAGCAATGTAAGACTAGAAGGAAGGCAGCTAGTCATCACCACCCACCGCCAACTCTTGGCTGAAAAAAAACAAAAACGGTAAGGCATTCTTCTTCAATATATTTAACTTGCTTGTTTATCCAAAGTGTAATCGTGCACAATAAACATATTATTCAAAGACAATGGTAAGTTTAAGGATTAACAACGCTAAAGTCCAGAGTTCGATCCCACGCACTGGACACAATAGATGTTCGAATGTGGTTTTGCTCTATAAAACAAAAAACAATAAAAAAACGTAATTCCTATTGTAATGTCTTGAAAAATATTTTTGAAGCTTATAGTGGAGTTTAGAAGTTCTATTTAAACTTGTACTGTTCTCGTTACGTGAGTCAGTATTCCGTCACACGCTAAACAATCAGATGTTACAGTTCTAGGATTATCGTTGTCATGGTTAGTAACCTACACGATGAAGGAAATTTAATTATTTATTACTAACGGTTCTTTTTACTTGTAACTAGATATATCCGTTTTCACAGAAGCCCTGAAAAGGAATACTTCTGTGTTGGTAATTGTTAGGATTCGATCCTGGGTCTTCTTGATGGGTTATATACAAAGTTTGGTCCAGTGTTTGGCATCCTGGACTCTTGATCGTAAGGTTCAAGGTTGGACTCGCGATGTGTCTCTGAACACCTTCTGCAGTTTCAGTTGTGGAAGCGTTATAATTGTGACCGTCAGTCCCGCTGTTTTGTTAAGAGCAGCTGTGTAGGAAGCGGCTAGTAAAGGTAGGTTGCGTTTCACTTTTAACTTTGGTTTAGTTATTTTTATTATATTACATTTATATCGTGTGCTTCTATTAATATGTTCTGTAAACAGTTATATAGGAAATGAAACATATCTTTTATTGAAGTAACAGTAATTCTTAGCATCAAAGTTCCAGATAGGGCGCTTTTTTCTCTCTTTTTAAACGTTTCTTTTTTGTGAATTATCCAAGTACTTCTAATTCGTAAAGAATAAGCAATCAAGTAACACAGAAACAAGTAAAATAATTTGAATTTATTTGTTCTAATCTTTGCTGTTAAACATTTAACGGAAAACGTTCAATTCTTGATACATACACCTGGTGCAACAGATCTCCACTCTCCGGGCAAAGCACCTCCATATGCATAATGAGTAATTGTATTTTGTACACACACATTTTGGAGTCGTTGTTGTTTTTATTCTGGTTTGAAGGGGTGCTCAGAAAGGAGACGGAAACACCTCTACACCTCACCAGTGTTGCTTTACTATGAGGGAAGAGGAGACACCTCAAACTACTACAGCAGTGTTTATGAAGTTTTAAATATAAAAGTGTTTCCACATATAAATGTAACGGAAGTTGGTTCACACTCTCTAAATCCCCGATTTATTTCAGATAAAGCTAAATGTGTAACCATTTGTTTATAAAAAAATTAATATGTAGGCTGGTATTGTTCAGGACCTGAGGATAACAGGTTCGTCTACTTTAAATTTCTACAGTTCAACGTTTGTTTCAAAATAAATGTACACGGTTCTTACAGTGCACTTTAAAAGGCAAAGGATAAAGTGTGGGAAAAAGAGCGTAAATAAAACATCTAAGCTGTGATCATATGAAACATAAGAATTATATATATATATATATATAA